GCTCCTGGAGCAGCCGAGCGTCCCGGACTAGAAAGTAATGGATTTCTTGCTTCTGCCACAAATTCCCCCAGCTGTGGGCCTTCCAACCTTCTAAGTATTCCTTTATATGTGGGTCAGAGTTCAGGGACCATCCCCTGAGCCTGCTTGGTCAGGTATTCTGTGTTGTTGTTGGCGGAGCTCTATACATCTACCCGATGTGCCATCTTGTTTGTTCTTGTTGGCTGTCTTTTGAATCTTGGTTTCCCTGGCATACTATTATAAAATAGATACTTCAGGGGTAGAGCAAGGAATAGCCAGAAATATCACCATAGAAAGCTTGTAAGTCTATCTTCTGCCTATAACTGATTGGAATACCTAAAATGGGGCTACAACGTGCCAAGTGAAGGAAGGAGGCTTTCTGTGGAGCCTCTACATTACATGAGACCATAGGTGGAATCCTGAAACCCATCCAGAATCTTCTGAGGTGGGAAATTTCCACTGGAAAGGACAAGCAGACCAGCCTGGAGCGGCTAGAAGAACAGAAGATACTTCTTGAAAGAAAGACCAACAGGAAATATACAAAACAATAGCGGCAGTCCGACTGACTACTACAAGAACAAGCAAGTTGCTTGCCCAGAAGACATCAGGGCAAGTGGTCGGGTCCCCTAAGGGAAAACCCTCTTCCAAGACTAAGGCTCAGTGAGAATACATGTGCAGACACGTGCTCTGACTGGTGACCATGTTGGTCACCGATAAGAGGAAGTGAGGGAAAAGAAGCTGTGAGCTAAGTCCAACCATATTCAACAGACATCTGTGAACCTGGGTGAAGACCTGGTTGGCCAGCAGTGTGGCAAGACCTGGGGACTCCTGGGCCCAGAATCAGTGACATAGCCACTGAGGACTAGGTGGAGAATGAAGCGTCCAGCTGATAAGAAAAGGCATATGCACAAGAACACCCATACGTGCAGATAATACCCACTTGACCTGGTTTCAATGGCTGGATGATCAGAGCTCAACTAGAAGAAAGGAGAGGAAAAAAAGAGTAATCTGATACAATTTGATGAACTTTATTACTGGATGCAGTAGATCAAAAGAGGGAACAAATCTTTACAGTGAGGATCCGTCCCACGCCCTTGATACACAGGATAGATTGGGATGGGCAACTTGGACATTGGCTACCCAAAATGGGGGGCTATAGAGGCAAGATGTGACTGGCTTACAATCTTTGATGAGGAAGCCTGAATCCACAGGGCGCGGAGGAAGGTAGAATCTCCACTGAGTAGTGTCCAATCTGTCTGGGCGGGGCTGATGAAAGGAGATGGGGATAGCACTCCTGCGGTACAATAGTGAATAATTACTATCCAGACTGACTGTGAGGGTTGGAAATGTAAAGGTAGATGTTTTGTAGCAAGGAGAGGGGAGTGATTAACTTTTCAGTCTAAGAGCAGAGGTCCCTGGACAACAATGGAGAAGAGCGGAGTGTGGGACCCTACCCAGGGAAGCAGTGACACCAGAGATGGAGGTAGAGACCATGATGTGGAGAGATGGAGCAGCTGGGAACTCTAGACCCAGAGAGGGAGAGGGCCTGATGACCGGGGGAGCAGGCTTGCAGGGTATACCCTTTGGTTGGTTGATGATGCGTGGAGGGGATTGTAACCATGGCAGTGAAGCGATATACGATAGTATGGATGTAAAACTAATGTTCTCCCATGCAAACTATCACATAATTCACAATAAAATATTAAAAACAAAAAGCCTAGCAATTGCCATTCAGATAATCGCTATGTGTCCAGGACTCGTCCACTTCTTCTTCCTTGTCATCCTTGCTGTCTGTTGAAATGCTTCGGAATGAAGAGGAGGGGGTGATGGGTGGGATCACGGTGAGTAAGGCTTCCACTGCTATGGCGTGGTGGAGTTGACACGTTCCCTCGGGACACTGAGCTGGACAGGGTCAGTGAGAGCTTCAGCTGAGTCTTCTTCAGGGACTCCTGCTCTGGGCGGGCAGCAGCTGTCATGAATCTATTAATGTAACTGAGGGCAGCATAGGTTGGCTGTTGTAATTCTTGTTTTTCTAAAATGCGTTGGGTCAGTATCACGATGCTCAGAAACCAACTCGGGACAGGATGGCTATGAAGGAAATAAATAGAATGTGGTGAGGAAGAATGAAAATGAGGCCTGCTTAGATAGCGCAGTCAGAGAAGGCAATGGGAGTAGTTATCTTATGCCAATTAAAGCACGCAGCAGTCAATGCTTAGAAGTGTTCCTTCACAATGCTGCGGAAGCTTTAACTCAGTAGCTAACCCAGCAGGTGTGTGAAGAAACCTTTGGTTTCTGTACTAAGTAGAATATTATGGAAGCAACCCATCAGTAAAGTAAAGCTATCCTGCCTCACAAGCTAGTAGTCTAAAACCAGATATGTAAAGTTTGCTTCCAAAGGATAGGAAGAATAATGTTGTGGCATAGGATGAACCCAGCAGCCCGCTCCTTGGAAACCCTGTATGGAGTTGATGTGAGTAGAAACTGACTTGATGGCACTTAATGTTAACAAGGATAAGAAGAGCAGACAGTGAAGGACCCTTAAAACAAGGTCTCTAAAGGCTTGTTGTTGTTATGAGCCAGCCGTGGAGTCAGTTCCGACCCATAGCGACCCTGCACAGGGTTTCCAAGGCTGTAAATCTTTATGGAAGCAGAAAGCCTCGTCCTTCTCCCACAGAACAGCTGGTAGTTTCGAACTGCTGACCTTGAGGTTGCCAGCCCAATTCGTAAACACTACGCTACCAGAGTTAGGCCAAAATTTTCTTATCAGTATTGTTACTTTTCTGATACCTAATTAAAAACCCAAAAGATCAGAAGTTTGGGAGGCTCCACTTTGAGGTATTTCTACCTCAGAAACCCTGTACAGGGTTGCTGTGAGTTGGCACTGACTCCACAGCACACAACCAACCAAGATTTGTACTGAGAATTGAGATAAGTGAACAGTTTCCGCTGGGCTCCATTGGAGCTTTCTACCTTCTCTGAGCTTTTGACAGGTGTTGGTGTTGGTGTTGTTATGTGCCGTAGAGTCGCTTCCGACTCATAGGGACTCTGTGCAGGGTTTCCGAGGCTGTAAATCTTTATGGGAACAGAAAGCCTCATTTTTCTCCCACAGAACAGCTGACCCTGCAGTTAGCAGCCCACTTCGTAAACACTATGCTACGTGCCTTTATTGGCACTGTGACTCTTTACCTGGAACAGACATGCTCTTATCACTGCCCCAGCTGAGAGTCCAGCTCAACAGTGCTTCTCTCAGGATTCTCTCAGACCTTGGCTGTGCTCCAAGACAGTGAGAAGAGACCTTATTCACATATCTCTACTTAGATTATGGGGCGTTTGGTTTCCTGAAGTGAATCACAGGCACCTCAGTTGCTGAGGACCTTCCAGGGTTATTTCTTAGGAACCAAAGGCAAAGGAAGAATTGCCTTATTGAAAATAACTCGTTATCCTTCATCTACTTTAAGCGAATCATCAGCATTCTATCATTTACTTGTCTTTATTGAATTTGTTCATTTTGGTCTTCCAGAATGCCACTAGGCAGAAATCACATATGTCAGTAGCTGCCATAGCTCATATGGAAGGAATAGAGGTTTACTATGTTGTAGACTAACTTTCTTCAAAAATACCCTTTTGTATAGGCTTCATAAAGAAGATTAAAAATACCCTTTTGTACAGGCTTCATAAAGAAGATTAAGCTGTCACTTGCATAGGCTGTAATTTGGTGTGTCCCAGCATTCTGGATTTCTGAGTTTGTACAATTAAAGAACCACGATGTAGACTTGGTATATTACCTAAAGAATTGAATTTTTATTTATAGCATTTTAATGAGTGTAAAATTAGAACAATCCTTGGACCAGAGAATTCCCAGTGCTTTAATGGTACTGAAGCCCTTGTAGAAGTTTACCCATAGTAGAAGAGAGGCTTCTGATATGCTTCCCCCCTGGTGATTATGGGCCATGGAGTTGGTTCTGGCTAATAACAACACCATATAGTGTTCCAAGGCTGCAAATCTTCACAGGAGCAGAAAGCCTCATCTTTCTCCTGTGGAAGAGCTGGTAGTTTTGAACTGCTGCCCTTGAGGTTAGCAACCCGATTCATAACCACCATGCTACCAGAGCTCCTATACCTTTCCCCTTTTCATTTCTATTTGTTATCTGTAGAATGAGAGCATGGTCCAGATGGCTTTTGCTATTAATAATTCTTAACTTCTGATATTTTCTTGTCTTGCTATTCTTGAATTTTTTTCTTATGATGGTAATAATAAAACATGGGACTTGTTAAGTGCCGTCGAGTCGGATCCGACCCATAGTGACCCTGAACAGGGTTTCCGAGGCTGTAAATCTTTACGGGAGCAGAAAGCCTCATCTTTCTCCTGTGGAGCAGCTGGTAGTTTAGAACTGCTGACCTTGTGGTTCACAGCCCGATTTGTAACCAGTAACTTATATTTTTATAGGCAATTAAAAAATGCATTTAAAAATTATTAATATATAAGTGTTTATTAACCTTGCTTGGACAAGTTTTTAGTTCTTTTGAAAAAAGATTAAAAATATATCAAAAGTTAAACTTTTTTTTTTTTTTTAAAGAAGTCAATGAAAGGATTCTATTTTGCAAAGCTGTACTATGAAGCTAAAGAATATGATCTTGCTAAAAAGTAAGTATTTAATGGTAAACAGGCTTTAATTTTATAAAATTAATGCTTTACCTCATGCTCTTTGTAACTGGTAAAACTATTTTATTCTTTCTTAGTTATTTCCCAGTGTATCTTAGAAACAAGTGTGTTACCCTCTCTTACACTAATGCTGTTAATGAGCCTGTAATGATGATTTTATGCATGCCTGCTGCTTGTTTATACCTAAGGCAAAAACTGAATTGTTCTGACTTAAGACACCTATCCTAAAAACTGTCTTGAGATAGAATAAAGAGAACCCTGCTTATAGGTTTGTTTCTTCCTGGTTAGCTGATGCTTACTTTACTCAAGAGGAAAATAGCAATGGGTACACATTTAGACTGTGATTACTGGACAAGAGAATAGCTTGTGTCAAAAGGGTTTTGATTGACTCAGTAGGTGAGTTCTTAAGCTCTGTCTCACCATTGGGATCAAGAAATGTATTGATCTGATTTTCTGACATTGGCTTCAAAACAGAAAATGAGAAGGAGGGTAACCTTTTAGCTGCATTGTTGGGAAAACTGAAAGACAGGTAAGAAAGGACAAGCCCCGTCATGTAACTAGCAGTGCTGGGGCTGCTCAGTCTTTGTTCCTGAATCAGGTGTGGACTCTGATCTAATTTCTCCTGTGACACCTCTAGGGTACGGGGGGCTTACTTGTTTCTTGTCGTTTAAGAAATAAAAATTGCCTGCATTTGGTTGTTTATCATAGTGATTTTTGCTGGACTCAGTGGAGTTAGAAATTGTATTGTTGTTTAAAAAGTAAATAAATTCTTTTAGTGGTTATTTGAGATAGGTATTTTTTAGTATTTTTGTTGGGATAACTTTAAAACTCTCCACTTTCTAATTTCTTTGCACACTGTTTTAGTGCCTGACTGGTAGCGTGGTGGTTACGAATTGGGCTGTGAGCTGCTAGGTCAGCAGTTCGAAACTACCAGCTATTCCACGGGAGAACGATGAGGCTTTCTGCTCCCGTAAAGATTTCCAGCTCGGAAACCCTGTGCAGGGTCGCTGTGAGTCTGCAACAACCACAACCACAGTGGGGTCAGGACAAAGCCGTTTCTGTGCTTGTGCTTCACGGGGGAGTAGCACTGAGCGAGCTTTGATACAGGTAGCACTCAGTGGTAAAATCAGGAGGCTGTCAATGAAGTGTGTTTTAACTACTCTGTTCTTTTCTCTGGGATTTTTGACCTAGCTTCATGTTTCAGTGTATAAATTGTTGTTGTTAAGTGCCAGAGAGTCGGTTTTGACTCATAGAGATCCTGTATAAAGGCTTTAAATTTTCTCAGGAGCAAAAAGCCTCATCTTTCTCCTTTAAAGTGACTGTTGGGCTCAAACCGCTGACCTTTTGATCTGCAGTCAAACACTCATGGTATGGAGCCACCAAGCTGCAGTCCCCCCTGCAGCCCCCCCACCGTGTATAAATAGGGCTAACTAATAATTACTGTGTCCTCTTGGTTGGTTCTGACTCACAGCAACTCTGGATAGAGTCTCCAGTGAGTGGCTGGTGGATTTCAAGTACTGATCGTGTGGTTAGCAGTCCAGTGCTCATCTTCCAGTGCCACTAAAAATTAAAGTAACAATGTAAATTAGTTTAGTTATTGCTTTGGTTCAGTTAGCATCTAAATAGGATCATCTAAAGGCTGACTTTTGTATTTTTTCAGATACATATCTACATATATTAATGTGCAAGAGAGGGATCCAAAGGCTCACAGATTTTTAGGTCTTCTTTATGAAGTGGAGGAAAACATTGATAAAGCTGTCGAATGTTACAAGGTAGGATTAAACAATAGTCTTTTACATTTAATCTCTAAATACACATGTCCAGAGTGACTATAATTCAGGATTTAAATATCTTTTATGTATAGTACTGTTTAGTGACACAATTTAAAACATTAAAATATTATTATTTTGGCCTAAAGTACACTCTTGAGGGGGCTTCAGAAAGTTGATGGAACATTCTGTTACCTTTCCAATCCATTTTGCCATGAACTTTTGAAGCCCCTTTGTATAATTTATGATTAAACTGATGAAGACAAGATGAATTTGGTATTCCATAAATTGTAAGTCTCGCACAGTCAAAAACGCTGTGTTTTGTTGTTGTTTTTTTGTCTCTGTATGTGATATTTGTTGTTTGGTATTCACGTAATAAAAGCCTCATTTTTGATTCATCACCAAAAAATTCCAGTATTAATTTTAACAGCATTGAAGTACTATCACCGTGTAATGCAGTGATACATTTTAAAGTTGGTGTGTGTGTATATGCTTGGTTGCTGGTCGGTGTCTTTGAGTTGGTTGGGACTCATAGTGACCCTGTGGACAGCGGAGGAAACACTGCCCGGTCCTGCACCGTCCTCACAATTGCTGTTTGACTCCATGTCACAGTCACTGAGTCCAGCCAGCTCATCTCTTTCGATGACCCAGCACGATGTCTGTCTCAGGGACTGGCCTTCCTGACTGTATCTCTGAAGTTGGAGAGTCCAGTGTTGCCAGAGTTTGCAAGGGGCAGCCCCTGGCGCATTCCGTGCCCCCAGCGTTTACACGCACACCAGGGCTTGGCTCATGTGCACCTCTGCTCAAAGGAACATCTTGGGTCTCAACACTTTAAACAGCTCTTTTGCAATAGATTTGCCATGTATAGTACAGTATGTATACCATTTGGTTTTCTGACTGCTGCTCCCATATGGGAGCACTGATTGTGGGTCAGTGCAAAATGAAATCAGTGACAACTTGTCTTGACTTTTCTCCGTGTATCATGTGATTTGGTGGTCTAGTAAGGATATTATTGTCTTTACATTGACGTGCAATTCATGTTCATCAGTAAGTACTTCCAGGTATATGCTTTGTTGTTGTTAAGTACTGTCGAATCGGTTCCTACCCATACATAGCAACCTTGAATAGCGTTTCTGAAGCGCTTCTGGTAGGCTTGAACCAGCGGCCTTGAGGATCCAGCCAACTTTGCAGCCCAGTGCATTAACCCATAGTGCCACCCTAGGGCTCCAGGATATGCTTTAGACCTCCTAATTTATTTTTTCTTTTCTGATACTAGCGTTCAGTGGAATTAAACCCAACACAAAAAGATCTTGTATTGAAGATTGCAGAATTGCTTTGTAAAAATGATGTTACTGATGGAAGAGCAAAATACTGGGTTGAAAGAGCAGCAAAACTTTTTCCAGGAAGTCCTGCAATTTATAAACTAAAGGTAAAAAAACAATAACAAAAATCCCCCTAACACAATACCTAATATAAAAACCATTGGAGGAAACAACGGACACCTGTTTTAATACGTGAAGTTTAAATTCCTTTTTGTTGCAGATCTTAAAGCTTTTTTATACACATGCTTCCTGTAATTTTCTTATTTAAAAAATTGGAGTGTTTACACTATCTATTGTTGTTGTTGTTGTTAAGTGTGCACTGTTAATATGCTTTACAAATAGTGTTTTAAATGATTATTTAAGGCTTTTTCTTTTTACAGCCCAAACAGCTCATGGGATTTGGTTTCTTGGTCTGAAGGTGTTGAGGGTTTTGGTTCTATGGGGCGTCCGAGGTGACTGATCTAGTAGTACACTTAGTACGTCTTTTCTGTCTCCTAGCTCATTGCATCGTGTCTTAACTCGGGGCCCTCAGTGCAACACTGGGGCTGCTAACTCTTTGTTCCTTAATAATGTGAGTGTTTTCTCCTGTTTTGGACTTTGGGACCTTCGCATGGGGCCTTAAAAGCTTGCGAGTGGAGACCCAAAGATCTCTGTATATGGGATGAGATTGACAAGAGCACCTCAGAGGTCAGCTCAGAGCCTTCCAGGGCAGTGAGTTGATGCTGCTCGGGGAGGAACAGCCTGGAAAAGGATGATGAGGCTGGTTACCCAACTTGAAGAACGACCTCACTTCAGTGATGTCATGGTGGAAAAATGCAATGAAAGGTTTCCACCAACTCTTTAGAAGTCCCTTATACAGAACATTGAATCGGTGAATATTTTTAATGTGTATATTCTAAACAATAAAATTAAATATTTTAAAAAATGGAGAAAATAATTACCATCACTAGAAGTTATAAAGTACTGTGCAGAGTGATTCTGTATAGTGTTCATCCAGTCGACCCCAGTGGGGTAGCCTTTCAATGATTAAAGGCAGGAATTTGGCATGGCAGTTTATGTATAGAGACAATCGTGTGTCTTTTTAGCACGTAGATTCCGGTACCATAACATAGAGCTGTTTCCTATCGCTACAAAGCTTTTGCTCTTGCTGCCCCTCTCTCCTGTCACCCCTAACCCTTAATACAGTTTGCTATTCATCTGTACTTGGGTCATTTTGAGAAAGTTGCTTAAATGAAATCCTGCAGAATATGACCCTGTAACTTGTTCTGTGTGCGCACAAGTTGTGGGCATCAGTACTTCGTCCTTTTGAATGCTGAGTATTCTGTGGTATGGATGTGTACAAAGTCTGTTTAACCATTTACTTTTCAAGGGGCCTTTCCAAATACCCTTCCCTACTGCTTAGCTGTTTAGTGTGTGGGCACAGAGAGAGCAGAAGACTCAGTAGCAACTCCAAAGTAGATGTGGAGAGGAGGGAGAGGGATTGAGTCAGGTTTAGGGGGACAGAGGACATTTTGAGGGTGAGGACTCTGATGGTGAGCATGGACTAGGAGGCTTAGGCTTCTGGTGCTGACTGGGGTGCACGGGGATGTAGGGCATACCTGGTAGTTTCTGAGGCCAATCTGAGCAGCCATAGACTTGGTACTAATCCCATGTGATTCTTTCCACTTCAGGTTTTTGAGGGTTAGTTTATGGGCTGAAAGTTATTGTCTGAAGGTGATACATCTGATAGCAACTTACTAGCGTTAGACATAGTGACAACCTTTACATATTTCAACTGGCACAAATGTCTCTCTAAATTATATATATTTTTCCTTTAAATAGGAACAGCTTTTAGATTGTAAAGGTGAAGATGGATGGAATAAACTTTTTGACTTGATTCAGTCAGAACTGTATGCAAGACCCGATGATGTCCATGTGAATATCCGACTAGTAGAACTGTATCGGTCAGATAAAAGACTAAAGGACGCTGTGGCCCATTGCCACGAGGCAGAGAAAAGCTTAGCTCTGCGTTCAAGTCTGGAATGGAATTCGTGTGTTGTGCAGACCCTGAAGGTAGGTGAAGCTGTTGGACCTCTACGGTTCTGTATAGATAGCCACTGTGTATCCTTTTGTATTTGAGCACTACCTCCAAGACTTCAATAAAGTTTTAATTTGTGTAGAGCGATTATGAAATGAAAATTTTAGGACAATATTTTCAGTTTTTTACAGTAGGCAGATTGTAGAGATAAATAAGATATCTATATCTATATAGTGTTAATTACTTATGAGATGTAAAAATCAGTATGGTTCCATAAATGTTATGTTGTTGTTGTTAAGTGCCGTCGAGTCGGTTCCGACCCATAGCGACCATGTACAGGGTTTCCGAGGGTGTAAATCTTTACGGGAGCAGAAAGCCTCATCTTTCTCCCGCGGAGCGGCTGGTAGTTTTGAACCGCTGACCTTAAGGTTCGCAGCCCGATTCGTAACCACTACACTACCAGAGCTCCTTTTAGGTTTCATTACAGAAACAGAAAAACTGAGAAGATACTAGCTGTCCTCTGAAGGAATTATAAGCAGGGTTAAATTAATTTGAAAGCATCAAATAGTAAATTTTCTAGGATTTGATAAAGCTTTGTAACTAACTGTTCTTTTCTGCTAAATAGGACTATCTGGAATCTCTACAGTGTTTGGAGTCTGATAAAAGTAACTGGCGAACAACCATTAGAGACTTTCTTCTGGCGTATGCTAACCTTATGTTTCTTACACTTTCCACCAGAGATGTGCAGGACTGTAGGGAATTACTGGAGAGGTACGTTCACGTGACTGACTTGAGAGGGTTTTCTGTGTAAAGCACAGATATTCTCTTGCCATGATTTGTTGAGTTCATTGATCTAAACATCTTTGTCATTGTTCCTTGTACTTAAGGTTTGCATTCAGTATGGTGAACTATTTGGAAGGAATCATATTTGTTATTGAGGATATAATTAGTTTGGAGAAACTTTGATTTCCAGAGAACTCTTAAGTTTAGATTGGTACAAAGTTATCCTTATTGTTACATATTCTGGTTTAAAAACATTTAATTTTTTGCATGTTGTGACTCCAGACAGGATCCAGAGAGAGGAGTTCTGCGATCTCTTCTCTGGGTTTTATGGAGACTTACTTTACCCTTTTGTGTTAGCTTCTTAAGGCACTGCATCGCCCTTAAGAGGGCACAAGAAAGGGCGATTCGGCATTAGTTTCCTGAGGTTTTCTGATTCACTGTTTCCCACACTCCCTGTTCCAACTCAGTCTCTAAAAGCTCCCAGTAGCCCGTCAACCTCAGTCTCTTAAGCGCACTGGAAACCGCTTTTACATTGAACTAAGGCCATGGCACCTCCATAGATGATTGCAACAAATCCCCAGACTGACAGATGTCTCCATGTTCGAGCTGGATGCAGAATCCACCACAAAGTAGCTGCGGATCCGCCTGTCTTCTCCACGGACAGGCAGAAACTGCAGGCTCTGCTTGGACGTGCCTGATAGACAGCCAAGCTTTCAAATGGATATTGTAACTGCTATTCCAAGTTTTGTTTCTGGAAGTGGGATGGTAATTAGTCAAAATCATTCTAGCTAAGTCTGAGAAGAAACTTCATCTATTATCAGATGGAGAACTTTAGATGTACCAAGTATAAGCATTTAGCATCACTGAAATTTCAGAGAACATTGTTTTACCCTAGAAATGAGAATTTAGAGTATAATACAAGCGAGCATCAAAAAGCTGGTAAAAAAATATATATATTTTTTTAATTTTAGCTTTGATTTTAAAGTTTTTATTGTGAACTCAGTGATAGTTTACATGGGAGAACATCGGTTTTATACTCATCACTTCAATGCCATGATAACAATCCCCTCTTTACATCATCAGTCAATATTATTTGCTGCCATTCCCTTTGGGGTTTTTTTTGGGGGGGGGCGGTTCTGTGGGGAAATGTACAAAACAACACTCAGGAATATATAATAATTAAAAAACCAAAGGGCACATTCTGCAAGCCTGCCTCCTGGCCGCCACCACCCAGTCCCTCACTTTCCATGAGTCCAGAGTCCCCATCTCTGCCTCTATCTCTGGTGTCGCTGCTTCTCTCGATGGGGTCCTGCATTCCGCTCATGCTCTTTTCCCTTGATGATCCTCGGGTCCTCTGTTCCTGGACTGTTAAGAATAACTACTCCCGTATTTTTGTTACAAAACATCTACCTTTATAGTTGTGACAGTTGTAATTAGTCATGATAACTATTTCTCACTATTGAATCCTAAGAATCTTATCCCCATCTCTTTTAACCAGACCTGTCTAGATAAGATGAAAACTCTTCAGTGGGGATCCATTATCTTTTTTTTTTTTTGGTTTTGGTCAAACTTTTTATTTAGTATTCTGTAGTTGTTTAATTTAAATGGTCTTAGTGGGGGGAGGGGGGAAGGAGAGGCTCTTGCAGAATCCTAAGGAAATGTCAGAAAGGCAATATATGGCCAGCATTATCCTTTTATTTTGGGTACTGGGTGAATAGCACTTTCCTTACTTAAGCATCTATCTCAGCTTTTGCATTCTGAGAGCATTGAGATTTCAGTTTGAAGACACCCTGAAATCTGTGAGTAGCAAACCCAACACCACCCTTCTAATATCTGGCTTGTTTATTTATATAGGCAGAATGATTCATCTCTCCATTTCAGATGGCTAGGTGTCTGTGGAAGATCTTAGTATTGCCTGCCTTATTTACTGGGAAAAATCGAATAGGAACTGGCCTTCAGGGACACTTAAGCGAATTACAACACTAGTACACAAATCAAGTCATACACATTTAACATTTGCTTATTGAAAGCAGTGTAATAAAGTCAAATAAAATTAAACAGGTTTTGCTTTACTTTTGCTTCACAAGAAACATAAAAATTATGGAGGAGTACTTAACATGAAATTTTTTTTTAATAACACAATTTTTCCTTTTAAGTGTCCCTGGGTAGTTATGACAGAATAGGTTCCACTTTTTGTTTGTTTCTTTGAACAGGGATTTTGGTCCAAAGTTTTGTTTGTTTTCAGTAATTGCTTCTGCCTCCCCCTCTATCAGAACGGCTTCCTCCATGACCACCTCTTGGTGCTCCGCGGCTTGAACTGCTGTAGGAATCACATGGAGGAGGGTACCCACTTTCCATAGAAGGGGGAAGCCCTCTTGCTTGTCTGCCAACCTGATTACGATCACGTCAGCAGCTTGAGTAACATTCACGACTTCCACCATATCCGTCTCGTGAGCTGCTGTAATCATCATAGTGACTGCTCCACCATAAGATGGCGGGGCCCCTCGTGTAGGTAGAGCACTGCGTGAGAGACCATAGCTGTCAGGAATCTCTGGAGGAACCTCCACTTGGATGGTCTGAATAGAGACCATAGCATCTCTATCACTATAGCCTCTGGATGGATAGTCATCACGTGACCTTAATCATGATATGTATAATCTCTTGGTGGTGGTGCATAATCTCTTGTATCACGAGAATTTGGGTAATCACTGCTTGAATAGCTATCTTTAGTGGAATAGCCATCATTTCTTGGGGACAGGTACACATCTCAACGAGAGGGCAGGGGTTCCCTTCTTGGTGGTCCTCCATAACTATCTCTTCCATGGGATACCGGGGCTCTACCTCCCATTCCACTGCTACTGTGAACTGGTCCTGAAGGAGCTGATCTTTTAGGAGGAGGACCACCATTGCGTGGTGGTGGTCCTCTTTTTACTGGAAGTGGTCCCCTGGAAGAACTCTTGATAAAATTCATGGAATAGCCACCATCATCCATGTGTCCCCCCACGTGAAGGGGGTTGCCTCTGCTTCTTGGAGGTCGTGGGGGTCCACGCCTGCCACTTTCAAATGGTGGTTTAGTGGCTTGTTCCACCTTGATAGCTTTCCCATCCAAAGACTTTTCCATTCATATCTCTGGCTGCATCTTTGGCATCGCTGGGCTTTCAAAGGTGACAAAAGGAAATCCTCTTGATTTGTTGGTTTCACGGTCTTTCATCAAGAGTACTTCCACAATCCGTCCATATTTGCCAAATACTGCTTCCAGGTCTTTTACATTAGTTTCTGTATTGAGCCCTCCAATGAAGAGCTTTCCAGGGTGGTTGGCTTCAACCATTTTCCCCCAGTGGTGAATGTTCGCGAAGTGACAACCGTCTCACCAGGAGGTGATTCGTTGCTGCTAGCGCTGCTACGCAAGCCCGTTATCTTTTTTTTTAATGTTTTATTGTGAATTACATGATAGTTTACATGAGAGAACTTTTGTTTTACATTCATTCCATCGTATATCATTTCATTGCCTTGGTTCCAATCCTTTTCATGCATCATCAACCGACCAAAGGGCATATCCTAGAAACCCGCCCCCTACACTCCTCCCCCCCCCAAGTCTTCCACACACAGTTCTTCTCCCTCTCTGGATCCAAAGTCCCCAGCTGCTTCATCACTCTACGTCATTGTCTTTGTCTCCATCTCAGGCATCTCTGCTTCTCTGGGTAGGGTCCCGCTCTCGGCTCTTCTCCGTTGATGGTCCTAGAGACCTCCGCTCCTGGACTGGAGAAATAATCACTCCCTTCCTTGCTACAAAATGTCTACCTTTGCACTTCCAACCCTCATAATCAGTCCTGATAACCATTATTCACTACAGTATCACGAGTTACCCATCTGTATTTCATTTCATCAGCTCCGCCTAGACAGATTGGATAGTACGCACTGGAGATTCTTCTGCCTTCCTCCATGCCCCCTAGTTCTAGGTTCCCTCTTGAAAGCTTGTAAACCAGTCACTTCTTGCCTTTGTAGTCCCCCCGTCCCCATTTGGGTATCCAGTGTCCAAGTTGCCCAACTGTCCATTCTTTGTGTAGAGGGGGTGGGAATGTTTCTTGCTGTAAGCATTTGTTCCTTCTTTTGAGTCACTGCATCAAGTTCATCAGATTGTATCAGCTC